AAATAATGACATGCAAAATTACAATGCATCAGCAAATTTAATTTGTCATGAAATCTCATGCATTTCTTTCATATTATATTACATTGACTCCCAAAGACTATAGTTCCTGCATTTAACACAATAAGACTAGAGTTCATGAACATAACTCCTGACTGTTATAGTCTATGCCCCTAATCACAATAGAATTTTAAGAGATGACTTTTATCACAATATCTCTTTAGACGTATTCCTGACGCTAGCAAACGTGAAAATCAAGTTCTTAGTAATTATATCTGCTAAAAATGATTGAAGAAAAACATCGAGCAAAGAATCATCTAAAGATATAGAAACATAACATAAACTTACCACATCGCTCTCAACTTAATTGAAAATGGCTTCTTCACCAAACCTCAACAAACGAATTGTGACCTTGCCGAAATAAAAATAGCGTTATGTTGCAAAAGAAGCAAAACGAGAAATGTCCGACGTCAATATATCTCGCATTCCAAATTTACTTTACACGTTTTCTGCCAAAGCTGCGAGTCGCTCTTTCTTTTCTTCATCTCATCAAGTAAACATTAATTATAATTTTTAAAACACCATGTCGCCTAATAGCAAAGGGAATCCAATGATATTATTTTGTAAAGAGTCCATCAGCATGACGCATATGAAAACCACCAATACTTTCTATAAACTAACAAATTCACAGTTTGAAAACGGATCGCTTTCTTCTATGCCAATTGCATGTTAAAAGTTCATTGCAAATGCCTGCTTCATCAAACTAAATATAAAAAGTGTTATGTTCAAAGGAAGGAAAATGAGACATGTCAAACGTCATTCTCTCACAGTCCAAATTACTTTACACGCTTTGCTGCAAAAGCTGTTAGTCATTCTTTCTTGTCTCTTTATCTTGTGAAGCAAACATCAAAAAAAGTTTTCTCCACGTTTTCCATAAAATTATAGATTCGTGGTTTTTACATTCAAATTGTAATTGTACTTCAATCTCAACCAAACATTAATGGTATCTTTTACAGTATATAGTTTTGGTATACCATTTTTATTACGTATGTGCATTTGATTAGCATTTCTGCGAGTTTTTATTTGAATTTTCTTGTTAGCATGTTGCGAGGTTTTGCATTTTTTTGATATTACGCAGGTTACAAATAAGTTATTGTATAATTTTCTCGTCTATTTTATAGGCGTCCAAATATCAATTCTTACAAAACTGGAAACATTGGTCGATAAACAAGAAGAAGCGTTATCAATACGTTCAACTTTCGCGCTATGCAAATCTCACCTTTATAGGTTCTGGTGACTCTAAAAAAAAATCCATACATTGCGTAACCGTATATCCTGTGTCCCAAGTGCATGAGTCACCATTTTACTATGGTGATAACCGGGAGGGCACATTGATATACACTTTATAGACAATATTTACCGCAATATATATTTTAATATGGTGATAGCCGGGAGGGCACATTGTTTATACACTTTGTATACATATAAATATATATAAAATGAAATAAAATGGACAAGTTTTTACTGTCGCTGCTCGGAGTTTCCATTTGCGAAACTAACTGTTTTTCAGTTTTTTAAATACCAAGGAATACGACACAAAATGGTGATGGTCTGTATAAAATAGAAAAGTAAAGTATTTCTTCACTTTCCCATTTTTTACTATTTTACTACTAACTAACTTTTTTAAGTTTTTAAGAAGAAGAGGCTGACAATGATCGTGGTTGTCTGGATGAACAAGTATCGTTTCCCTATCATGTCTCCATTTGCCAAACGAACTCTTTTACTTATTCAGATGACTACAAGGCAGTTCCTTGTGGCGTGGAAGAACAGCAAAACTAAGGTACTTTTTTTTAATTTGTGCGGTTGTAGATGATCAGTAATGTCGGCGATGAAATTTATTTACACACTTCGTACAAAATATGTTTCTATATATTATGCATGTAAATTTACTTTTCATAATTGGAAAGGTCGTCGTTTAAATAGATTCGCGCTCAGTTACAATCGGTTTTTTCTATGAAAATTAGATTTTCCCCCCCGCTTTCTAATTTGAATTAGAATTTTAGCAAATTGTGAAGTTGTTTCAAAGTAGTTTGCCACGTACTTCGAACTGCTGAGCACAAAGTAATTTTGCTAACTCGCAATGACTGTTCATGCGTCTATTTCCATAATACTATTGTTCATGCGACTTAAACGATCTCATGACACCGTTGAAATAAATGAAAATGGTAATCGAGTGTCATCGGTTCTAATCGCTAATAAAGCGCTCGCAAGAAAAATGTTTCGTTGGATCATAGTGTGTGTGTGTGTCATCGTGGGGGTAACTTCATATGCTGAAGAGACAGTTAAATTTTCCAATCACCTAACTCCCAAAGACTATAGTGCACAAACTTAACTTTCAAAGAATATCTTTCACACACCCAACTTCAAAGACTAAACTCCCAAAAATTGTTCTTCATGCACCTAAACTCGGAACGACTATAGTTCGTAAACCTAACTCCCAAAGACTATATTTCACGCACGTAACTCGCAAAGACTATAAGATCATGCGTCTATTTACCAAAGAGTTTACTTCATTGCAACTAACTTCAAAGAAAATAGTTAATGTATCTAATTCCCAAAGACCTTACTCCGAAGGACCATACTTCATGAAAGAGCTCCCAAAGACTATAGTTCATGCACCTAACTTCCAAAGACTATAGTTTATGTCACTAACTCGCAAAGATTGTAGCTCATACACCTAAACTTCCAAAGACTATAGTTTATCCACCTAACTTTTAAAGACTATAGTTAAAGCACTTAAATTCCAAAACTTATATTTCACACACCTAAATCTGAAAGATTGTTCATGCGTTTATTTCCCACTTATTGAACTCACTTGATTGGTGAATTGTATTTTCCCATGTTTCCAAAAATTTTCTTAAAGGTCATACATTCCAATTCTTGTTCTTAATTCGAGGATCACATACATATGAACTATCGACCAGACAAAATCATGATATCCAATTACAATGTGACATCACTCTTCACATCCATACCACTAGACATAGCAAAACAACACAACTAGACAAATGACATCCTCCACTTACTCAACCTTTGCCTCTTCACTGAATTCTTCTTCTGAAACTCATACTATAGACAACTTTCAGCGAATCAAAGGGGTCACCACTATACACCTTCCTCGCAAAAGCTGTCGTGCAAAACCTCGAAACACAATCAGTCACCAACAGCACAGATAAAACAGACAGACTATGGAATAGATATAAAGACGATATCTTTGCCATAGTCAAGAAAGCCAAAACTGGACAAATGCTACACACCATAACAATACCACAAAGAAGATAACCTCCACTATAGACAAAACACACAACAAGACTAAACAAACAAGTATACGGCATAAATACCCTTACAGACCAAATACTTGATTTCAACCGTAATCATTCCACACAACACAAAATAAGCAACATTCTAACACTTTTCAACAGAATTAACACTCACTGCAGCACTGAAGAAGCCAAAAAACAGAACGCAACTACTTGTTCTCATTTATAAAAACTAGTTACCCTATAGAAACTTTATAGACGAAACTATAAGCAAAATCAGTCAGACCTTTACTACTAACGGATACCTCCCGAAAGCAGACACTGCTATTAGGTCCCTGCCAATACTCTGACTATTAACTTATTTACAACCTCTCATAAGCAGACACCAAAACAATCTTCAAACAATTCTGCAGTGTTTATGGTGTTTCGAAAGTTCACTTTTATTCACTTTTTGGGGTGGTCATGGGGAAAAAAATTTACATGAGTTTAATATTTACTGAGAAAATTACCATACACCAGCTATGGTCAAATGGAATTTTGCACAAATTACAAATATTCGTGGCAGAGATTGAATTTTTATATTTTCGTTGTTTCAAGAAATTTGCATTGCGCATACCTTCCTCCTAAACACACTTTCCGTCATATTTTGCCGTTTAGTGTGCATTTCATAGCCGAATCTTATAACTTAAATATTTCATACAGGGACAATCCTTCACCATTGATAAGTGTCGTCGCTTTTGTGCTCGATAAATACTGCTTCGAAAAAAATATAGGTATATCGATATTTTTTCGGATATTTTTTTTTTTTTTGTAGTGTTGTTCGCAATGATTCATAAATACATCAAATTGAAATTACCCCGCACGTGTGATTGGGTCAAGATTGTCTGTCTAATACATTGTATACAGATCCATTTAAAAACCGCTATAATGCTATTAAAACCAATAAAAAACAATTAAAATCTATGTATAATAACTAAATATATCGTAACAACGAATATTTTTATATTTTTTCGATATTTTCGGTACATCGATATATCGATATACCTTACATTTTACAACTGGCACATCAACTGACTACCAAGAACAACGAGTACTGACAAGTGAGCATCACAATGCACAAAATTACAATCAGCACTGACTATAGACAACGACTTACGTTAGAAAGTAGGTTAACAAACTCAAAACAAAAATCATTGAACAGAATACAAATATCAGCACCTTATAAACGGCTTACAAGCGAACAATTAGTAAGTATACCACACAAACTTAAACATCCACATATTTCCCTCTCTGTCATGACGTCTAAGGAACAAATACGGCGAACCTGACTAATGTTGTGGAAACATCTGTAAACTCTGAACACCAACAGTGGTTCCAAACCTTTTTAATTTCTATTTATTTGTACAGCAAATAAAAAATAAAAATAAAAAATTAAAGGACTTATTCATACGAAGAATGAAGTTGTACTGTGAGAGTTGTGCATTGCGAACTTTCTTATTTAGTGTTGATCCTTGATCCAAGTCTGTATCAACACGATAACCAGCTGCATGGAGCTTCTTTTAAATCTAAACATGACCAAAATGTCAATAAAAAAAAGGAGAAGAAAAATCCAATTCATAAAATACCAACAATTTGTCCATAGCTGAGTTTGCATTAGCCTGTGCAAGTTCGATCTAAGGCTTACTAAATTAAATTTACCTGTTCGGCATAATCATCATATTTACTACTGACAGGAATTACTATAACTTGACGGAGAGAAAGCCATAAAATCCTAGAAAATAACAGAAAATGCAGTGCATCAAAATTTTGAAATAAAGTGAAGTAAAGTAAAAATGATAAAAAATTTCCAAAAATTAAGAAACTTTGTATCATTTTAATTGAACATTTTAAGGACATTTTATTTGCTTTAAGCTCTGGCATGAGCCAAGAAAACACTCACCATTTTCCACCAAACCTTTCAGTAAGAATAGCAATCATTTTTTCAACTGAACCTAGAATAGCTCGATGAAAAATAACAGGGTGTAATTTTTCATCTCCTTCACCACTGTCAATAGAGTAATAGAATATTGACAAATTACTAAATTGTTACAATTTGTGAAGATCTACAATTTCATGGAAACTTAAACTGTACCGTAATCCTCTGACTATAATACACACCTTACATATGTTTGTGAGCCATTATCAATGATATTTACATGGGGGGTGGGAGATGCACAGGGAAACATGCATGGACTATTAACTATTATATTGCAATTATCTGTTAACATTACAGTATTAAATGTAACTATATACTTATGTGCGGGTGGGTTTGTTTGCGGCGAGTTTGAATGCAGGTAGGACTTTCAGTGTTCAGCAATGTAGCAGGCTGTATATAAGTATATAGTATATATATAACCATATAAATATATAACAATAGGTTTCTATAGAAACAAATAATTATGTCACTGTTTTTCAAATGAATTAAGTATCAGACCGTAGTGAGGTTATTCAACGAAAAGCTTACTGGCAAAACTTACGTAGCGTAAGTGAGGTTGAATCTCTCAGAAAGTTTGAAATCCAGTTCAACTGTTGCACATTGATGAGACCGTCTCATAGCATCAAAAATTTTTATATTAATCTCTAAATTGTGATAGCAATGAAATTATAAATTCACAATGGTATACATCTATAAACATAGAAAGCTTAATCTCCCATCCCCAGGATTTATCGACATTTTTGACCAAACTTATTCAAAGCTTCCATCAGTTTCTAATGTTATCAATTAAACATTTTAGAACATTTTAAATAACAATTAAAAATATTATCAATCATAAACATTTTCCATATTTCTTACAAGACAACTAAAAAACATTGTAAAGACTGCATTTATGTTTGCTGTAAACAAATTGCCTCCCTTTTTTGGGAGGTAAACAAACCAATCTGTATGTCAAATCAACAAATGAAAACATTCTTTAGTTTATTTCATTCTTGAATAACTGTCTATACCTTTGACATCCATAAAGAGGAATTTCACACAATGAAAAAAATGTAACTTGATTAAATAGTTCATTGGTTTCAACCATTGAGTTGTAATGTTTGAAATGCACTGAAACGAGTTAATATTTTAGATGCAATATTAACAAATGTTGTTATTTGAGTGATTCATTATAAATAGAAATAAGGAATACATAGAATAGAAATGTAATTAATAGAAAAAATAGTTCATGGCTTCCCGTATAACATAACATGTGCTAAGTTCAATACTTCATGCAATAATATTATAGTGTAACATTACATCATCAATGATACTTCGTATTGCTAACACTCCCACTTAATGTGCACTATAAATGTTCCTTAAGAATTACGAATTCTTAATCTAAAATTTCTTTGACACCTAATATGTCTCGAAAGTTTTGGAATGTTTGCTTTGGTAAACTTTTTGTCATAACATCTGCTAACATCTGATCTGTACAACAGTATTGAACAATAATGGAATTATCGTTGATCTTTTCTCTAACAAAGTGATACGCAACGTCAACATGTTTAGTGCGATTGTGAAATCGTGGATTCCTCGAAAGTTCAATTGCCCCTTGGTTATCTTCGTTCAGTATAGATGGTTGATCTTGATTTATTCCAATATCCGCTAGTAAACGTCGTAACCATATGATTTCTTCTGTTGCATAACTTAGTGCAACATACTCAGCTTCAGTCGAAGATCTTGCAACACAAGATTGTCGCTTGCTGCTCCAGCTGACGGTTGATTCGTTTATCTGGAACACGTACCCTGATGTAGATCTTCTTGTATTTACATCACTTGCCCAATCAGCAACTGAGTATCCAACCACTTCGCATGTTGAATCTTTGCTTTGAAAAACAAGACCATAATTGATTGTGCCTTTTAGGTATCTCAACACTCTTTTTGCTCCCTGCCAATGCTCCTTTCCTGGCTTTGACATCAATTTTGAAAGAATACCAACAGTAGATGCCAAGTCAGGTCGAGTTGCCGTTGTCACGTATGTCAAACATCCGATGATATTAGTATATAAGCAACGATGATATTTTAGATGGCAACGATGATATTTTAGATGGCATCGTACGAAGATGGTGGACGTAACCTTTACGCAGCGGAAATTGTGGCGTTGTTTGTGTAAATCATTCGTAACTTGAGTTGAATAACAAAACATATTCGTTCATTTAACCACGATTTTTGAAATCTTTACTTTAGAGGATAAAAAATTGCGTTTTGAATCATGTTCCAAAACATAGCAAAAAAATTTCGAACACTCATTCTGTATCGTCCAAGTCATTTAGACTTCAGTGTTTAATGCTGGCGTAACGGTTTTCTTAGTCGCAATAACCTTATTTTCTTGCGCATTTTTTAAAAATATGATGCAGTTGTTTAAAAATAAGTTTCATTAATTAACATATTGTCACGTGACATCAAGTAGATTTTGCGCAGGTGCTTTTGTACGCTTAACACTTTGTTGTAAATGGTTTTTATCAAACTGAAAAGAATACACTGAAAGAAAATACATCGTTAAATGAAACCAAGCAAAAACTGTAAAGTCCAGATTTGTGCTACCTTCGTCGGCAACACAGCCATGTATTTCATTCTGTTGTTAATTTCTTTTTCAATGGTGTTCAATGGTTTTCAATGGAAATGTGTTCAAATGCATGAACTATAGTCTTTTGATGAAATTATGGAAATATGATAAAATTCATTTTCAGGGGTGTGGAATCCCTATTTTTGTAAAAGTTCTTTTTGATAAGGAAAATGTGTTCAAATGCACGAATTATAGTCTTTTGGTGAAAATAATGAAAATATGATAAAATTCATTTTCAGGGGAGTGGAATCCTTATTTTTCTAAAAGTTCTTTTTGATGTGGAAAATGTTTTGAAATGCATGAAATTATGGTCTTTTTAATAAAATATGAAAATATGATAAAATTCCTTTTCAGAGGGGGTGGAATCGCTATTTTTGTAAAAGTGCTTTTTGATGTTGAAAATTTGTTCAAATTCATGAATTATACTCTTGATGAAAATATGGAAATATGATTAAATATATTTTCATGGGGAGGGGTGTAATTATTTTGTTAAAGCTCGTTTTGATAAGGAAAATGTGTTCAAAGGGGTGTAATCATTATTTTTGTTAAAGTTCTTTTTGGCGGTGGACTCAATTTTTTTGTAAAAGTTTTTTTTGATAAGGAAAATGTGTTCAAAGGCATGAATTATAGTGTTTTGATAAATTTATGAAACTATGATAAAATTTATTTCCAGGGGGGGTCGAATCCTTACTTTTGTAAAAGTTTTTTTGTGGAAAATGTGTTCAAATGCATGAATTATAGTCTTTTGATGAAAATAATGAAAATATGATAAAATTCATTTTCAGGGGGGTGGGTGGAAACCCTATTTATGTAAAAGTACTTTTCTTGTGGAAAATGTGCTCAAATGCATAAATTACAGTCTTTTTGTTAAAATATGAAAATATGATAAAATTCATTTTCAGGGATGTTGGTGTGTTTTTTTTGTAAAAGTTCTTTTTAATGTGGAAAATGTGTTTAAATGCATTAATAGTGGTCTTTTGATAAAAATATGGAAATATGATGAAATTCATTTTCAGGTGGGGTGGAATCCCTATTTTTGTAAAAGTTCTTTTGATAAAGAAAATGTGTTCAAATACATGAATTATAGTCTATTGGTGAAAACAATGAAAATATGATTAAATTATTTCAGGGAGTGGAATCCCTATTTTTGTAAAAGTTCTTTTTGATGTGGAAAATGTGTTCAAATACATGAATTATAGCTTTTTGGTGAAAATAAGAAAATCTGATTAAATTATTTCAGGGAGTGGAATCCCTATTTTTGTAAAAGTTCTTTTTCTTGTGAATAATGTGTTTAAGTTCATGAATTATGGTCTTTTTGTGAAAATATGAAAATATGATAAATCCATTTTCAGGGAGTGGAATCCCTATTTTTGTAAAAGTACTTTTTGATGTGGAAAATGTGTTCAAATACATGAATTATAGCCTTTTGGTGAAAATAAGAAAACATGATTAAATTATTTCATGGGGTGGAATCCCTATTTTTGTAAAAGATCTTTTTGATAAGGAAAATGTGTTCAAATGCATGAATTATAGTCTTTTGGTGAAAATAATGAAAATATGATAAAATTCATTTTCAGGGGGAGTGGAATCCTTATTTTTCTAAAAGTTCTTTTTGATGTGGAAAATGTGTTAAAATGCATGAATTATAGTCTTTTGGTGAAAATGTGAAAATATAAATAGAATTCATTTTAAGAGGGGGTGGAATCCCTATTTTTTTACACATTTTCCACATCAAAAACACTTTTCCAAAAAAATCGAGTTCACACACCTGAAAATGAATTTTATCTTATTTCCATATTTTCATCAAAGGACTATAATTCATGCATTTGAACACATTTTCCACTTTAATAGAACTTTTACAAAATGCCGAGTCCACCCACCGCTGAAATAGATTCTATCATATTTTCAATATTTTCACAAAAGACTATAATTCATGCATTTGATTACCTTTTCCACAAATAAAAATATCTTTTACAAAAAATAGGATTCAACACCCCCCTGAAAATTAATTTTATTCTATTTTCATATTTTCACCAAAAGACTATAATTCATGTATTTGAACACATTTTCTATTTCTAAAGAACTTTTACAAAAATAGGGATACTACCCCCCCTGAAAATGAATTTTATCATATTTTTATATATTAACAAAAAGACCATAATTTCATGCATTTGAACACATTTTCCACATCAAAAATAGCTTTTACAAAAATAGGATTCCACCCACCCTGAGAATGAATTTTATCATATTTTCATTATTTTCACCAAAAGAATATAATTCATGCATTTGAACACATTTTCACAAAAAAAGAATTTTTACAAAAATAGGGATACTACCCCCTGAAAATGAATTTTATCATATTTTGGGAGGATTATTACTACCATCGAGGTAGTCTGGTAGATGTGAGAGAGCGATAATCTGGGGGTGGGTCATATTTATATATTTATGCTATAATGCGTAGCAAGCAATGAATTTCAGGGAGACTTTATACTACGTATCCTGCATATGCATATATATATAACGTGTATAACAATGTGCCCTCCCGGCTATCACCATAGTGCAATGGTGGCATGACCTCCCCCCTCCCAATTATTGATTTTCCTACACCCGTGGCTAGTAGTATGGTTGCAAACTAGATTCGTTCTATTAACGATTATTGATCTAACTGTAAATGACAACAGAAAAAGTTTTTGCCACTGACATAGTAAATTCTCAATACTTAAGATTTTCATTTTTCAAGAGCGGGAAGGAGGGGTTTTGTGTTTACATTGCCTATTTTTAAAGCGTATTTTAGCCAATCATCGTTCTGTATTAACGAATTTTACATAATAACGACATGAGTGATGAGTACCGTTACATGTATTTAAAGGTAGATAGTCCTGGCTTTTGCAATCACAAAAAGGACTGTTGGTGTTTGTACTGACTGACGTCAGAGTCACGTGATTTCGATAATGACTACGGTTCAGGATGTTGAATCGTCAATCAACATTAACAGTTCTTCTCATGTCAGAACTCCTCTAAACTTGAACGGCTGACTTCTACAAACATTTAACATGACTGACATGAGTCAGCCAAATTTATAGATTTAAAAAAGTAGCTTGATTTCGTCAAAAAGTGCAACTAATCTCAACGTTTTCACTCTCAATACATTCAGATTACTCGACTCGTCAACTGATAGCTACACGTGAGAACAAAACGCATCTTGAAGAGAAGTTAGCAGAAGCGAATAGAGATCGTGAATTGGCGGAACAGAAGGTAAAAGATCTACAACTTCGTTTGAAAAGATTTGCGAAGGATGACGAAAGACCCGAAAATGCAACAAATAGAACGCGAGTATAAAGAGCTTGAGAATCTCTTGATTCTAAAGGTAAGAACAACAATGAAGGCGAAAGTATAGAATCGGTTAACGGACGTCAAATGAAGAATTCAACAAAAGTATGCATTTTGCTTTAAGTTTTACATATTATGCGTACGATCGTTCTTCCGAGTTTTTCTTGTTAAAATTCGCGTTATAACAAAAAATGTCTTTGTGTACATGTCTTACTTAGAGGATTTTTTATGAAAAAACACGACTCAATGTCTATAAATACTAAATTTATGATGACAGCGATTGCTGTTGGTTTACTCCAAGAACTTTCGCTTCTTTGACGTGTTCATATAAGGCGTTAGCCTCAATTCCACGTCGGCCTCTGATTGGTCCACTGTTCCCAAGCGAATTTCGTAAACTGTAACATCAAAATATACACAATGCTTAAAACGTTCCAGCAATGCAACTTTGAACTGTACGAAAAAGAATGCGACAATAACGAATTCTATTTAGTAACCTTTCATTTCAAATCTTGGTCCAATCTCGGAGAGTTCGATGTTTCCATCAACTCTTTTATAACTATGATGTCTGAAAAAAAGAACTTACTTATTCGCATAAAGCTTGAAATTTTGTTTGCCGGCATATTATGAAAGTTGCGTTTGCCAACCTGAAAGAAATGTAGTCGTCTTGATTGTCGAAGGTTACAACTCTCTTGCTTTCGTCCTTTGGAACAGGAAATAAATATTTCAAAATGTTTTTGACATGAAAATAGAATTCATAAAAAAACTTAAAGTTTTTAATCATAACTTAGATATGTGAATTGTATATCCACAGAAAACCTTAGATATCTCTTAAACAGTAAACACATAAAACCATATGGATAACTAAAGATGCCCTTAGATATAGCCATAACGACAGAAAATCAGAAATAACCACATTTATCCTTAGATAACTACAGTTATCTATGGATAACCACAGATAACCATATCCACAGTTATTTATGGATAACCACAGATAACCATATCCATAGTTATCCATGGATAACCAGAATTAACCACGGATAACCAAAGATAAATAGCAATAGATAACCACAGATAAATTGATTACCCTTTCTCCAAGTTTTGATGAGCACTTGTGAAAGATTAAGTGCGGATAAACCTCTGACATGATTCCAATATTTGGGATGTCATGTCCCATAACTGTGTTTGACAACGTGAAGTAGACAGTTGGTCCATAGGGAAGATGACACACAACAAGACCATCTTGAAAAGTAATTGTTTTAAGGTTTAATAGTTTATAGTTAGGGTGTTGCACTTGGAAATGCTGATCTTCAATGCTAGGAGGTAGGCAATACGTGTGTAATATGAAGTTGGCAATAGGTGTGTGATATGAAGTTGGCAATAGGTGTGTGATATGAAGTTGGCAATAGGTGCGTAATATGAAGTTGGCAATAGGTGAGTAATATGAAGTTGGCAATAGGTGTGTGATATAGGGTTGGCAATAGGTGTGTAATATAAAGTTGTTAATAGGTTTGTAATATGAAGTTGGTAATAGTTGTGTAATATGAAGTTGGCAATAGGTGTGTGATATAGGGTTGGCAATAGGTGTGTAATATGAAGTTGACAATAGGTGTGGTAATATGGGTTGGCAATAGGTGTAATATGAAGGGCAATAGGTGTGTATGAAGAATAGGTGTATAGGGTAATAGGTGTAATAAGTTGACAGGTGTAATATGGTTGGCAATAGGTAATATGGGGTTGGCAATAGGTGTGTAATATGAAATCGGCAATAGGTGTGTGATATAAAGTTGGCAATAGGTGTGTAATATAAAGTTGGCAATAGGTGGATTTAACGGAAGATGGACTTAACGAAAGTATTTTAGAGCAAGATAACCGATCGTCCTTAATCAATCTCACTTCAGAAAGATATTTTACCTTAAAACTGTTTACTTAGAGTAAACGCTATATTTTTGAGAAAAGAAACGTCCAGAAAACATTTTGGTCGGCTATGCCGCTTTGATCGAAACGAAATTCGGAACCCGGAAAGCTTTTCAAGTGCACGCGTGACTCTCGCGAAGAGCCAAATTAGCTTGAAACTGGCTTCACCCAATCATTAGGCTTTTATATAGAGTTATCGTTCCAGTCGACTTACAGTTCACTGTTCCACTCATAGATATAATGGACCTACATTGCTAACGCATATCGCGCGGCCGTAGCAAATTGAACATTCCAAGCGGGCAAGAGAACTATAATTTGTATTACGAAAATCAGGTTTTTTGCAATTTTCGTTGTCGTACCCTTTCCATGCTAGTTGAAGCCACTTTTTTGAGAAATGGGATGACATTGCGGAGTTTTTGTGTGAAAATTTGGATGCATTAAAGTAATAACGCGACAAATATGGCTCCGTCAAATTTTTACCAAGTGAGAGAAATACCAAGTTTGGTTTAATGCGAACTTTAAAAGGTGATTGGTCGTACAAAGCTGTTGACAATTCAATTTCATAATAATTGAAAATTTTGCGGTTTAAATCACTTCTAATCAAAATCATCATAACTAGAGCTGCTAGGCGAAAACGAGAAAATGAAAAAGAGCTTGTAGAAACAGCTAAAAGGATGCGAAAACTGACGAGTTTTTTTAGCAGTGCTCCAGCAGAGAACGTTGTTGACCAAAACATCGACTCTAGGTCTAATTTGACACTGCCGTCAGCTACAGAAACTCCATCAACGTGCTTATGTCCTCATTCTCATTCCAAACCAAAATTCGGTGATTCTGACTCTACATCGTCTTCAGATGCTAGTCGCGCTGCCGACCGAGCCAGTTCACGCGCCTTCTCAAAACCGAACGTATGCGTCTTTGCCAAGTTCGACGACTACCGCCCTATTGGTAGGACCTATGCAAATTGAGTCAACGGAATGTTTGCTAGGACTCGATTGTAAGCGTTTGTGCTGTACAGGCCGACAGCCTTACCATCCTACCCTAGACGAAATAAAGCACACCAGTACAGGAGGATCGTCGAATGTACGAACTTGTCCGTCTTCTATATTTTTGAAATATACATGAGTCACATACTGCATGACAAAAGGCATCATTGCCTGTTACTTCTGTAAAAGAGCGATGCGTCAAACCTTATTACTTTCAGTCATAATGTTGAAAAGGCGTTCCTCCTAGGAGAATTCAGCGACTGGAAGAAGTGCCGAGAAGAACTTAAAAAACACTCTCCGTCTAAATTTCACGCAGAGGCGACTGAGAAAGTTTTATTATCTGATGATTCGAGAATAGATTTTGGAGCGATATTGGTCAGTGAGTTGAAGAAAACCCAGGAAACTCGAAGAAGAATGTTGCTAAAACAACTAAGTAGTATAAGTATTTGGCACGCCAAGCCCAAAGTTTGCAAGGTAAAACTAAACTTGAGAGTAACTTGCAACAGTTGCTAAAATTAAGAGCAGAGGATGTACCTGATTTGTTGGAGTGGATTGACAACGGAAGATATCTCAGTCGCGACATCATAAACGAGTTGATTAATATGATGGGCAATGCAGTCCTGAGATCTATAGTGGCAGACATCCGTAAGGAATCACAATTATTTAGCCTAATTGCAGACGAGTCTAGAGACATAAGCAACAAGGAACAACTAACATGTGTTTTGCGCTGGATATCTAGAACCGACTTGTCCGTCCACGAAGATTTCCTCGGAATGTACGAGCCAGAGATAATCGATGCTAAAACAATCACCACTTCACTGAAGGACATTTTGTTGCGATGCAGTTTGACGATAGACGACTGTCGATGGCAAACATATGATGGAGCAGCAAATATGGCTGGAGGCAGAAGTGGGATTGCTGCCCGAATATCTTCTGAGAATCCTCACGCCCTGTAAATTCATTGCGGTAACCACAGTCTTGACTTGGCTTTGCGTGATTGTGTAAAGGAGAGCTGGATTATCAGCGATACGTTGAAGAAGGTGCAAGAGTTGGCCGTGTTTGTTCGATCTTCACCAACACGAATGGCGCATATTACCAAAGAGATTGAAGACAGCGGCACGCAAGATGCGAATCCGCATTTGCTGTGTCCAACTCGATGGACAGTAAGAACCAAAGCCATCTCGGCTGTCTTGCACAATTACGAGGCCCTCTACTCTGCATCACTTAGCATTGCCAAAGAATCTTGCAAGTCCACCGTTCGTTACACAGCATTAGGTATGGCTAGCCGATTGAAGAAGTTTTGCTCGTACTTTGGTTTAGGTTTTGCGCAGAATATCTTCAGCGTGTGTGAACAAGTAGCAACTACCTTACAGAAGCCTTCAATAACGGCACAAGCAACTGTTACTTGCATAAATGCCTTAAAGACAAACTTGCAGCGTCAACGAGACAACTCTTTGTTTTACGACCAAGTAGTTGCTTCAAGCAGGGCTATCAACTTTGTAGGCGATCCAACACAACCAAGAAATACAATGCCAGGTTCGGTTCGTGTGCAGGGAATATTTGGTAGTTTAAATTTTTTTATTAAATTTTCAGTGTAGGATAAGGGTTAGGGTTAGGGTTTGGGTCAGGCAATAGTTTCACTTCAAATAGCTGCAAATTCAATATGGCGGACTGGGTGGAAGCAATGATTTAGAACCCAGTCTTCTAAATGTCAAACTACCGTGTCAAGGTGAGGCCATTGAACAAAATAGATGGAAGGCTACCTTAGTCCTTATTTTTAAGCTATTAGAGCCGAGTCTTTCTACGCATTTGTAAACACACGGCCACAAGACGGAACCGCAAATTAACTTGTACAAACTACGAAGCTCCAGAACAAAATTTGGCAAAATTTAACTTTAAAATCAAAACTTAACACCAAGTATACACAACTTTTTATCAATTACATTTTTGAATATTAAGCCATAGCCAAGCATAAATAAAAGGAATTTTGCTGTTGTTGTTGATTTTGTTATGTCTGCTAATGTGCCAAAAACTGAAGTGTGTTTGTTTTAAAGTAGCATAAAAACGCTCAAAAGAATTCTAAGCAAACATTAGTTTTGTAAATGTATTTTTACCCAAAACAAATATTTTTAATGTTTTTCCCTGGACATACAAATTTACAAAAAACACAATTTTTAGTTCAAACTTACACGAGATTTGGGAGGTCACATCCTCCCAAACTATAAGGGCTTCTAAAAATATGCGTACGTACAAATAATTCAAGGAGAAGCGTGTATATTATTGAATACTTCCAGTTGAATCCTTCCAAAATAAACAAGTACTTGCTGAAATGTTTCCGATTTGTATAAATTGAGCGATCAACGATGTCATTGTTTTTCACAATTTCCACACATTGATATTTTCCATTTCGAAATAGGTATTTAATAGGAAGCATCTTAATTGACTGAATAAAGGTTAACTTTTATGCCCCAATACCTTTAGGTGTTTATTTTTTCAATAAAATCAGAAAAAGGCTTCGGTATAAACATGTTTCTTTAACAAATCTCGCGTAACGTGTTGCTTTGCTCCTCAATTCATCAAAAGCAGATATTAGTGGTAAATATCGTCAGTTTTGCCACCTTACAAGATGGCGGCTTGCCTTACTCATTACTATACAATATTGTTGGAGTGAGATATCTAGTACATTGGGTTCTAGGTTATTAGGTGCAAAGCATTGAACTAAATAGATGGAAGGCTACCTCAGTCGATATTTTGAAGCCAGTATTTCCACGCATTTGTAAACACACGGCCGATAGACAGAAGCGTGAAATAACTTGAACAAACTACGAAGCTTTAAAATAAAACACAAATTCTTTTTGTCTTGATTTGGCAAACAAAACTTTCACAAATGAGACTTAACACCTAGTATGCACAAGTCTTTGACAATTACATTTTTGTAAAGGAGGCCATAGCCAACCATAACTATAAGGCATTTTGCTGTTGTTGTTTGTTTCGTTATGTCTGCCAATGTTCCAAAAACTAAAGCATTTTTTTTCAATGTAGCACAAAAATGCACATAAAATTTGAAAAAAAAACATCCGTTTTGTAAATGTATTTTATCCAAAACAATTGTTATTAATGTTTTTCTGTAGAAGTACATATTTACAGAAAAACACAATTTTTAGTTCAAACTTACATTTTATAGAGAAGCACGTTTATTATTAACTACATCCAGTTTAATCTTTTCAAAATAAACAAGTACTTTCTGCGATGTTTCCGATTTGTATAAATTGAGCGATCAACGATATCATTGTTTTTCACAGTTTCCACACTTTGATATTTTCCATTTTGAAATAGGTATTCAATAGGAAGCATCATACTTGACTGAATAAAGATTAAACCCAATCACCTTCAATGCCACAGTACTATTCTGCGTTTATTTTTTGAGTAACATTAGAAAAAGGCTTCGGTAAAAACATGTTTTTTAACAAATCTCGCATAACGTGTAGCTCGCGCGTGCAATACTCGTAAATTGACCTCAGACAAGCGTGGCTGGAGGTTAAATTTGTCTTCAAAAATTATTAGGCTTTTCTATTACAGGAAGGCTTCCATCTTTTATAGTTCAATGGTTTAAGTCTGGATTAAACTAAATGTCTTACGTTTTCTGTCCGCCATATTTAATTTATGATATAAAGGTTGATCAGTGAACTTTATAACAACTGGAAGGCTAACTTGGCGCCATCTTTGAAGCCTGCATGATCGCCGACATTGAGGGTACGGAGGCGAAATACATCACTTCAAAATTGCCGGATTTTTTGCAAAAATCAGTGGTCTTTGAGCCAGCTTAATGTCTAAAAACCTTAAACAATGTTTGGACATTAATATAAAACAAGTTTGAACGACATTTGTACATGTTTAAGCTTCTTTATAGAAGGATGAAAAGCGAACTTTGCATTGGCACGTGAAAACATGTCTTATGATTTCAATACAAAACAGACACCCCTAGTTTTTTTTCATTAAAAGGATGTAAAACACACTTGTCTATCGTTATAATATTGTTTGAATTTTTGAAAATGAAGCTGTCAGGGAAAAAACGCTGTTTTTCGGTAATTTTTGTGTTTCCGAGCAAAATTAGCTCCCCCCAGTCCTTTTTGAAAGTTCAGAGCATAAACAAAAAAACACTTTGCAAAATATTTCAAAAAGTTAGTAAAAATATATTTTGAGTTCGTTATAAAAAAACTGTTATGCCATATTATTGTGTTATTATTAATTGCGCCATTAAAGAGTGAAAAGGGTCAATACCCACTTAAAAAAAAAGACAAAAACACAATTGACACTCCATATTCATAAGTTTTGAAACACTTAAGTAAAAATTGTAATGTAATACAAGTCTGGAAAAGATTTTTAGTCTAATATTATAGAATCATCACATATTTTCACAAAT